CACCCAGGCGAGAGTTTCACGCCTTTAAAAATTTTAAACTCTGGTGCTCTCGCTCAAGTGAGGATCTAACAACCTCCATGCTACTTTCCCTCGCCCAGGCGAGCCAAATCTCGCCCAAACGAGAATCTCTCAGCCTCCACAGTTCCCTCTCGCCCAGGCGAGCCATCTCTCGCTCAGGCGAGAGTCCCAGAGAAAATCCTAGGAGAAATGCTGACACTCTCGCTTGGGCGAGCCTCCTCTCGCTCAAGCGAGAATCCTGCAGTATACCCCAGATTTTCCACTGTTACAATACTTTAGGAAAATAAAAGTTAGGGTATTACAATCCTCCCCAACTTATAGGAATTTTCGTCCCCGAAAATTAAACATACCTCTATCCGAACAAATGAGAGTAATCTTCTACCATGTCACGTTCCACCTCCCAAGTTGCATCCCCTTCATCTACTTGGCTCCATAGTACCTTCACCAACGGAATTTCCTTTCCCCTCAATTTCTTGACACTTTTGCCATGTGTAAGGACCCAAAATTCTACCCTTGAAAATTTTTCTCATTTTAATTCAAATTCCATGCAATCACTCATAACTCACATTACCAATTTAATATCCTTACTTCAAAATCTATTTCCCTCCTCACACTTAATCCCTAAATCAATAATGACATACATAATCATTTTACTTAGAAGTCTTCATGAATCATTCTTTGAACTAATCTTTTAACCTATTATATTACCATACAATTTATGTTGCGGAAAAACATAATTCATTTCATTAAACCCTAACGTCTACCGTATACAACTAGCTATGAGTTTCCAAAATACTCAAGGCTACATATATGCGGAATTGCAATCAATCGTATAAGTCATATATCCATAGTTACAAAATATTCCCAAAATAATTCAATAAGGACTCATATGCAAAATAGTGCAAATAAAGAAATTCCAAAATATAAGCTCCCTAAGCTCCCCCCAAAAATGATTCCCCCTCATGTCACCTGTTTATCTGCAATGGGATTATCAATGACAAGAACACAAACACGCAAAGGAGTAAGTCGTTAATTCAATAAACGTCATTATAAGATAATCCACATTAGAAAAAGGGGTTAGTAAACCATTTTCGAAATTCATTTTATCTTGCTGCATAACTTGAGCCAAAGTCGCTAACCACTGTGTTAGATGCACATATCTAATGCTTTTAATACGACGTAATCGATTACCAGGAGTGTGTAATCGATTACACTGTGTCAGATGCACAGGTCTGATTAGTTTATCAGCATGTAATCAATTACCAGGAGTGTGTAATCGATTACACTGTTTCAGAGTGTCAACAGCCCAAAATTGTCATTTCTCGCCCAGGCGAGACAACTCTCTCTCAGGCGAGAATCCTCCTGTATAGCCCAGGATTTCACCCTCCCAGGTGATCCTTTCTCGCTCAAGCGAGACTTCTAGGACTGATACTATAATTTTGAAGACTCAAGTTTAGGGTGTTACACGTTCTGCTTATCACCCCCAAAGGGATGGTTAGTTTGAGAGGACCATACAGTCGTTGGAAGACCTTTTGAGGGCATGTGTTTTGGAACAACCTGGAAGTTAGAATAATATGCTACCATTGATTGAGTTCACCTACAATAATAGTTTTCATTCGAGTATCGGGATGACACCGTATGAGGCATTGTATGGGAGGAAATGTAGGACCCCGATGAGTTGGTTTGAAACTGGAGAGAATTTGGTGTTAGGACCCGATGTGGTTCGAGAAACGACTGAGAAGATTAGGAAAATAAGAGAGAATATGAAGATTGCTCAAAGCCGATAAAAGAGTTACTATGACAATAGGCGGAAACCTCTTGAGTTCAATGAAGGGGATCATGTATTCATGTGAGTAGTTCCGACTACTGGAATTCTGAGAGTTTTGAAGTCCCGTAAGCTTACTCTGAGGTTCATTGGACCATATTAGATCTTGAAGAGGATTGGACCGGTAGCATATCGGATTGCCTTGCCCCCATTGTTGTCGAATCTCCACAATGTGTTCCATGTGTCTCAATTGAGGAAGTATGTTGGAGATCTATCCCATGTGGTTGAGCCTGATCAGATAGAACTGAAGGATAACCTGACTTTTAAGACCTTGCATGTGAGGATCGTGGTTTAACACCCCAAATTTTAATCTTTAAAATTATAGTATCAGTCCTGGAAGCCTCGCTTGATCGAGAGATTCTCGCATGAGCGAGAAAGAATCACCTGGGAGGATGAAATCCTGGACTATACTGGAGGATTCTCGCTTGAGCGAGAGTTGTCTCGCCTGGGCGAGAAATGGCAATTTTGGGTTGTTGACACAGTGTAATCGATTACACACTCCTGGTAATCAATTACATGCTGATAAACGGTCAATTTAGTCTTTAAAGTATTTTCAAAGCTCAATTAAGTGTGTAGTTATTATTGACATTTTAGTTTTTTATGGTAATTTCAATTTTTTTATTAAAAATATGATAAAATATTATTAAATTTTTTATTAAAAAGTAAAGAAAATATTATTAACCATAAAAAACTAAAATGTGAATAATTACATACTTAATTGTGTCATCTTATACAAAATGTGATAATAAAAAATTATTTTCTTTACTTTTTAATAAAAAATTGAAATTACTATTCAAATAGAAAATTTTGAATATTTTTTTTCCTCATTGTTACTATTTTCATACTGCAATATTATGGACTACATAGTTATTATGAGTTATACATATCTCTTATTATTTTTAAAATTAAGGAATACATATTTATTATGAGTTATACATATTTCTTATTACGTATTTTATAATTAAACAATAAATGTGTATAAATTTATATTAGGCATTGCCTAAAATTAAGGAATCACAAATTAAATTTATTGAAATTGTATTAATTTTTGAATTAATCATTTTCCTAATATTACTATTCTAATTTTAGGTGTAATCATATCAAATCATTCATTACCTAAAAATTGCAACTAATCACTTTTAGAATTGGTAGGGGAAATTTAAAATCACACACATATATTAAAATTTATAAATTGGGTTGATTATAATTTCAAGGTTAATAATATTTTCTTTATTTTTTAGTAAAAACTGTAATAATATTTTCTTTACTTTTTAATAAAAAAATTTAAATTACCATAAAAATTTGAAATGTCAACAATAACTACACACTTAATTGAGCTTTAAAAATACTTTAAAGTCTAAATTGACCGGTTATTAAATGTGAATAACTATATAATTAATTGTGTCATCTTATACAAAATGTGAAAATAAAAAATATATTTTCTTTACTTTGTAATAAAAAAATTGAAATTACTATTCAAATAGAAAATTTTGAATAGTTTTTTTTTTCTTCTCATTGTTACTACTTTCATACTACAATTTATGGACTACATAATTATTATGAGTTATACATATATTTTTTTTTAAATTAAGGAATACATATTTATTATGAATTATACATATTTCTGATTACTTATTTTATAATTAAACAACAAATGAGTAGAATTTTATATTAGACATTGCCTAAAATTAAGTTATGACTTATATCTACCTAGACCAGTTTTCAGTCATGGACAATTATACGTAGCTATAATTTATAACTTCTCTTATATTGTAATCTACAATTTTGTTCATACTCACTTTTTTTGACTGATATGTAATTATCTACAATATCCTATTTGTCAATATATCTAATTTACAAATGATACATACAAATAACTTTAAATGACTTAATAATTACCATGTTTCTAATTTAATATTTACTTCTCTTTTTTAAAATAATCATTTGAAAAACACTATCACTCGTGCGCATGCACGATTATCCTACTAGTGTAAAGAGAAAAGAAATAAATAGTATTTGTATTGTTAATCATTTTTTATTTTAATAATTTATAAAGTATTATATATTTATATGTGTGTATATATTTTAATAAATACATTTTTATTGTTGAATAATTTTATTCAATCATAAAAATTGAACTAATGAAATTTGATTATTATAATATTGAGATTGTTATATGTAGTATTATGGTAAAATTATATGTTGTTGTGTATATACTAAGAAAAAAAAACAAAATTTTATGGTGAGAGACACTTTGAGGGCCCCATCACACTTTTCATTCTTTCTTCTCATTCCTCTTCCTTAACCAAATGGAAGAAATGCATACTTTATCTCTAACTTCTTTCCGCTCATTCTCTTTTTCCTCTCTTTCTCCTAAACCAAAGGTGGCATTAAAGTTTTAAAAGATAGTGTTTTGTTTTACTTCGGTCCAAATGTGAACACTCAATTTTGTCCGGCTTAATTAGTAACCGTAAAAAATACATCATCAACCTCTTTGTGAGGTAACAAAGAAAAGTGAATGAGGAATTGTTATTCCCCCAAGTTTTGGATTACCTTGGTTATGAGCGTATTTGCATGACATTCAAATATTTGCATGACATTCAAAAAACGAATTTGCATGACATTCAAAAAACGAGTACCCGATCCATTAATCCCATTTCATATTGTTTATAAGTCACCACAAGGCATCTTGGCCTTAACAACAAAGCTACATAATATTGTAATTAACAATAGTTAAAGTCATTATGGACCACATTCATCCTAAAAATTTTGATAGCTCAAATTGAAGTCTTCTAGTTGAATAAATTGTGGCATGTAAAATTCCATTTTTCCTTATGAGCTAATAAACACAGTAGCAGAAAAACATTAAAATAAATAGTGTTGCGTAAGACCAACAATGGCAACCTCAACTAAGGAGCATCACACTACTGTTGATGCTTCTCTCCTTAGCCATACCCCTTACTACTAAACAGACCCCACCCTGATATCAAAAGACTAGTAAAGAGCAATGGGATCGTTCTTTGGGAATATCATATCGCTGGCATAAAGATAAATCAAGAAGCTTTTTCTGATTATGCATGCTTCAGTTTTCCTGTGCTGTTTTGCTTCATATAGAAGACACAAGAAAAGTCCAAATGGGAGCTGAATTGAAGAACATCCTCTACATGAACCCATAATTGTTGAAGGTGGAACATTGTATAGCCTGAATGAATACATTACCATATCTTTAGCAAATGCTATCAATAGTGCTATCAAAAATGACAATGTCAGTCCAGTTAAAGATGCAATGTTTACCTAGAAATAAGGAAAATTACCCATGAATCAGAATGATTGCACATGAAAACTTATTAAGGAGATATAAAATCATGGTTGTTGGCATTTCAGTTACACTTTATTAAAGAGCAAAAGTGGGCAGTTAAAAGGAGAATAATCAGAAAATACCAAAAGTCTGACTCAGTTACAAATAGCTAAGCATTGATAATACTCATAAAGGAGGTAATGTGTAGTAATCAAGGGCAGTCCAGAGGGTTATCAATTGGCAACCCAAGAGATTAGTCAGAGGCAATATAAAAAGAGAGACAATTCAAGAAGAAAAGGGGGAGAGAGATGATATACTTCACAGACACTCCCACCTAACACACATGTCAGAACAGCTGCTATACATCATACCCAGATCATATAACAAGTCAAAAAGCATTATATCATTCATCTACCTATCACACATATCTCATCGGAATACATATATATGCATCTACAACACAACATATACTCACAAATCCATCATATCACAAAAACACCACAACAAATCATTCATCAATACGCCTCACACTGAAGCAGGGGGCATCATACACATTGAAAGCAGAGAATATACATAGACATATCACAAAACCCTCCAAAAACTTCCTATTCTTCACTATCTATCACATACGAGTTCCTAATTCTTCAAAGCAATAGTTCAAAAACCAGTTCACACATTCATACCAGAAAGCCATCCTACATACACTATATTCCTCAATTTCTACACACAAAAGGAGCTATCAGAATGCATATCACTCATACACCTATAACATACACATGGGATACACACTGATACCACACATAGCAAACCAAAGACCCACACTCATAACATAACCACCAGAAAATCTTCTTACTTTCATTTTCATCATACACATGTTCCTTAGTCTAAAAAAGACACATATTATGCAACAACCAACCTCTGCTATCTATCATACACACAAACCATACCTCCCCCGATAACCAGCAGTCCATACACACATATCACACACCATAGGTGTACAAAGCCAATCATACACACATAGTCAAGGACAACATGTTGAGCAGTCAGCAAGTGGGGGACGAACATCACTAGTATTCCCACGTCCAGTTCTAAGAGGAAAGCAGCCAAATCTTGGTAAACAAAGCAGTAAGCGACATACAAGAGCAGAGAATCACACACACAAAAGACACACTCATAGAACGTGGTTTCTACATACCATATCTAAACCATTCCAAAATTATCACAAAAAACAACAAGATACAACGTCAACCAGCAGCAATCAACAAACCAAGACCATCACCGTAAATCGCTGTTCCAACGGGAATGTTTCGGGCTAATAAGGGGAAACAAGATACCTTCGCCACGAGTATGTGTCTTTGTCGCTGTCCTCGGAGGATTAGGGGTTCACCCTTATTTGTTGTCACCATTGCCAGAAAAAGAAGAAGATGAAGGAATGAATTTAGGGAGTTCTCTCCCTTTGTCTTCTCTGCTGCTTCCGATGAGAAATGGAGAAAGGAATGTGAGTTTAGGGAGCATTCCCATTTCCTTATGCAAACTGCGAAAGGAATTAGGGATTGAGTGAGTGGATTGAATGAATAACCGAAGGTGAGGAAATAAGAGGAAGAGGGAATGGAGGAGACGAATTCGCACCACAAATCGGTCACGGTGTTGCATCCTCTGTAGGCGTAGCCACCGCTGCCACCGAAGACGGGGAAGATGAGAGAAAATGGAATTTAGGAATTGTTTCCCTTTGATGGACGTGAAATGAGGAGGTTACCCCTCATTGCCTAATTCATTTCTTTTTTTTTCTCTTTTTGTTAATAATTTGTTTAATTGTTCTTTGATTTTTGTATTAACAATTGTTTTAATATAATGTAATAGAAGATGATCTTTGACAATTATTATTATTCATCTGATTTTAAATGGAATTTTTATAATAAGGTTATGGCCTGTTTTGTCTCTAAATTCTCTGAAAATGGGAAGGAGATCTACGACCAGTGCCGTCTCTAAACTATTAATTCCATGTCAAATATTCCAAAGCAAAATTATTGTATTATTTACTCAAATGACTTTAAATGGAGTTTTATAGTAAGGTTAGGGCCCGTGTTGTCTCTAAATTCTCCGAAAATGGGAAGGAGGTCTACGACCAGTGTCGTCTCTAAACTATTAATTCCATGTCAAATATTCCAAAGCAAAATTATTGTATTATTTACTCAAATGACTTTAAATGGAGTTTTATAATAAGGTTAGGGTCCGTGTTGTCTCTAAATTCTCCGAAAATGGGAAGGAGGTCTACGACCAGTGCCGTCTCTAAACTATTAATTCCATGTCAAATATTCCAAAGAAAAATTATTATATTATTTACTCAAATGACTTTAAATGGAGTTTTGTAGTAAGGTTAGGGCCCGTGTTGTCTCTAAATTCTCCGAAAATGGGAAGGAGGTCTACGACCAGTGCCGTCTCTAAACTATTAATTCCATGTCAAATATTCCAAAGAAAAATTATTATATTATTTACTCAAATGACTTTAAATGGAGTTTTGTAGTAAGGTTAGGGCCCGTGTTGTCTCTAAATTCTCCGAAAATGGGAAGGAGGTCTACGACCAGTGCCGTCTCTAAACTATTAATTTCATGTCAAATATTTCAGAAGAAATATATTTTTATTATTTAAACGAATTTCGAACAGAATTTTTATAGCAAGGTTATGGCCCGTGTTGTCTCTAAATTCTCTGAAAATGGGAAGGAGGTCTACGACCAGTGCCGTCTCTAAGCTATTAATTCCACATCAAAAATGTTTCAGTAAAAACATATTTTATTACTCAACCAAATCGATACCTTCAAATCAACGAATCAACCAATTAATTTTCGAACCAGAACTACGTAGCCTTGATTTCCCTATTGCAGCTTGGGATACGTAGGAGCAAGTTGAATTCTTGTCAGGCACAACAATAAAAAATAAAACATTTTGTTTTTATTTACTGAATTTTAATAAATAATTTTAAGGGTATAAAAGTCCATGTAATTAGCGAGGGTACCGTTTGAATACGGACGGACGGGGTGCTAATACGTTTCCCGATCCGTAATCGACTCCCGGGCTCAAAATCTCTGATTAAAGACCAAATTATCATAATTGTGCATATTTAGAGTTTTCTACGTTTTATCCGCAAAAAATGTAGTGGCGACTCCAAACAATTGGAAGAGGTAGAAATCGAGTTCGCCTCTCCCTAAGTCGCAGGGCCGGTCTTCCAACCGAATATCGGGTCGCGACACCAAAAAAGATGAAGTGATGTTACTTCAATATAGTTATATAAAATTATTAATAATATAAAATTTTATTTTTATATATGATTATGTATTTGTAGATAAAAATTAATAATTGTATTTAACATTATCCAGTCCGACATGACCGTCTAACTGTTTAAACAAATTAAACCTAATACGAAACCTCTTCCGGCTTGATATCCGACTTGAATTTCACAACATTGATATAAACTAATATATGTTGTTTGGGTACGATAGAAATATTTTTTTTATATAGTAAATTACACAAAATAGTATGATGTTATTTGTTTATGTTATAATTATTTTGATTGTTTTTTACCCTATTTTTAAAAATAATATTTTTTAATATAACAAATATAAAAATATATATTAAAATAAAATAAAATATAAAACTAATATAATATTAAAAACAACATGACACAAATAAATAGAAGTTGTTAAACTTAAATTATAGAATTCACAGAATAAATAGGGTTGTTATATAAGTTTTAATAGTCTCACCAAGATGTAAAATAGGAAGTGGGAAAATTGAAAAAAAAACTAACAACAAATAAATTAACTCATGATTTTGGAGATTCTACTTTTGGTTTGTTAAAAAAACCGAGTTTATAATTTCATTTAGTTACCAAACTGTGAGATTATAAATTGTAAGATTATAATATGTTTATGTTTGTTTACCTTAACTCTAAACTGAATATAAACTAATATATGTTTTTTGGGAAAAGTAGAAATATTGTTTTTAACATAGTAAATTACAGAAAATGGAAAATAGTATGAGGTTATTTGTTTATGTTATGATTATTTTGGTTGCTCTTTACAATATTTTTAAATATTTATCATCATATTTATTTTCACTATAAATTTTTAAATTTTAATATTGCATAACAACTGCTAAAAAATCAAAATAAATATAAAAATCGATATCAATATTTAAAAACAACATGAAACACAAATAATTAGAAGTTGTTAAATTTGAATTACATTATTCACAAAATAAATAATACACAAATGTCAAGTTTTATATAAAATTTTCAATAATCTCATCCCCAATTAAATCATGAACAAGGCACATGTGAAAAGTTATGAAATTTGGTGGAAGAGTAAAAATGAGGAGAAATATAAAATTATGATGGAGTAAAATGGTAAATGAAAAATAAATCAACCCATGATTTTGGAGTTTATACTTTTGGCTTACTTTTTTCTTTTTTAAAGTTGAGTTTATAATTTTATTTAATTGTCAAACATTCATAGTTTATATTTTCAACTTTTTTTTCAAAAAATAACCATAATATAAAAAATATAATTTATCCCAAATATGGACTAAGTATTTTCCAAGTATGAAATTCTTATTACAATAAAATCAATTTTTTAAGGAGAAATAATATTATTATTAATTGGCTCAATCAGAGTAGTCAATGGATCATTGGTTGGGATTTATTGGTGGGATTTATTGATTAGATTTGATTTAGTATATTTACATTAAAAAATGGGAGAACTACATAAAAGTACCCTAAAATTTATGACTTTTGCAAATATGTATTATTGAATTAATTTTTATTCTTAACTATCCCTTAAACATTGACTATTGGTGAAATATGTCTTTTAAAAAAGATAACGTTAAATTAAAAGTAATGAAATTTTCCAATTCATGTATTTTTTAATCTCGATTGTTAAATCATTTTATTTTTTATATATAATAATTTTATTGTATTAATCACTTTTAACCAAAGTTATAAAAATCGTACCGTATCGTATCGGCCGGTTTAACCAGAAAACCGGTGAACCGGACCCCTAACTGGTACAGTATGTATGTTATACCGCATATGCAATAGAACCGGTGAAAACCGGTGAACCAGTTTAAATCGGCCGGTTTGTATATTAATTTTTTTTTTAATTTCAAATTTTCAAATCTTCACCAATTCTCCAACTTCAATGATTGATACTTGTGTCATTTATTTGTATTTTGCGTTTGTTAAGTGATAATTTTGGATTAATATATGTTTTGCGCTTTAGACTTTGATTTTGTTAAAGACTTAGTGTTGTTTGTTTGTGTGAATTTAGAGTAGATTATGAATATGGATTATAAATCTGAATACCTACTTATTTAAAAAAATTTGTTATAGGTTTACACACACACACACACACATATATATATATATATAAGCAAGTGTGTCGGGTTTAACCGGTATGCGGTTTAATTACTGAACCACTAGTTGAACCACTGTACCACTATACCAGTACCCTGACCGGTTTGCTAACCGGTACGATTTTAATAACATTGCTTTTAACTTTATAATTTACTTATTTTCTTCTTCTTAAATAATTTTGTATTTTGATGGCAGTTTCCTCCAGATATCAATGCTGATTAACATGTATTGTTGCATTGCTTATTGTGATTCTGATTGCAGCAATTTCCTTGCTATTTATGAATAATTTAACAATATTTTTATACTTTTCCTTAAAAAAAATTAAATATTAACTAATATTATTTATTTAATATATACTACATTACCATTATACATATAGGTAACAAATAAAGTTTTACAACAAAAAATGTCACAATAAGTTGATCATCACACAATATAAGTTTTACGTTTTAATTGTAACAATTCGTACAAATAACTAACCATATTTTTTTATATCTAAACAACACCGTTTTGGTAATTTTTTATTTAAAAAACTGATTGACTTGGTTAGTTCGACTCGTCAATTCACTAGTTATAGGTTTAAACTTGACTATCAAACCATCCCGATTTTGACATAACAAATTGATAAAAATCTTAGATTAGTTAGATATCTAACTCACAATCAAAGTTGTCAAAAGAGTATAGGGCGAGTAATAATATGACATAAATGTCTCATCAGTTTGGGAGTGAAATTGAAAGAGGTTGAGACATATTATTCTAATATACGGTGGTAAACTAATGAGCTCAAATATTAATTAATCTACGGAAGAATTATTTATCAAAACAATACTCTTATTGTTCTATTAACAACAAGTAAATCTACCTTAGGAGAATTAGTCATGTGTTAAGTGAAATTGGTACAAGTAGCGGTAGATACAATTCTTGATAATGGAATCTAAGGACAACCAATGAGAGATGGTCATAATAAGGTTTATAAATCATTTTCAGATTTAATTGAGGGCAATGATGAACGATTTCATGAGACTCTACTTGGCAAACAAGTTGATTATTTGGGGGCGTTCTTTCATAGTCATAGGTAAGGGTGGAAATAGTCCAGACCGCATATCAGAGGCCTAATACCTAGCATATAACAAGTCAGATCAGGTCAGACCTTTTTAATAAATAGGTCATACTTAAGCTTCTCCAATATCCTATTTAACATAAATAGGTCAGACTCAGACATTTTAAAAAGTCTATTAAGCCTAACAGACTGACCTAAGTAATGTT